CGGGACGCGAGCGGAGCCGCGGGGAAGCAGCACCCGTCAGTCTCCTCGCGGCCGCGGCACGTGAGTATTCGAGCTCTGTGCCCCAGATGAAAAGCCTCACCAGAAGCAGATGGGGAGTGACTAACTTTAGAAACAGTATTTCAAAGCATTAGCAAGAGGAAGAGAAAAAGATTTCAGCTTTGGAGATAAGTAAAATGTTAAACCTCATTGATAAAGTATAGTCTATAGTTTTTTGAAAATGTTTAATTACAAATAATACTGTCCCTGGAAATAGTTTTCCTCAGATTCTTGCATTTCCATGTTACATGTGGCCAAAACCGGAGTAAAATGCCAATTTGTCAGGTACAAGTAGCTGCTCTAAAATAGTAATGCACGGTGCTCAAATCACTCATTTAAAGATGCTTGTTGTTCCTGTCTGTGTTTATTTTAATTTTCTATTATTTCTCCAGCATTGTTTTCTATGCAAGATTTGCTAGGAAAAAGGAAAAGTAGGTCTCCGAGATCTAAGAAGTTTTTTTTGGAAAGCTTGCAAAGGCGTTTGTGATAACTTGAACATCTCCCCAACTAGCTCGCCAGTTAGCTCTTTTCAATCATCGTGGTTTTCCTGCAAGAGGAAATGATCCTTCTCCTCCAAATTACAGAATCAGAGAATGATCAGTTCTGCTTTACAAGCTGTGTGTGTGATAATGGTATTTTTAATGGGAGACAAATTAATCCTCTAATTTTCTTGAATATCAAGTCTGATGTGAGCAAATGTCTTTTGTCTCTTTCTAGTAGCAATTCAGTGGTGGAAAGTCATCAATACTAAGCAGAAAAGTTCCAAGTTTCTAGCTCAGAATCAGATAAACCCTCATTATGTCCACGTTGTTGTTCAGGTCTCCTGAGAGCTACTTTCTGTGGCTTTGGCTTCCACCCAACAACTGCAATATGGATGCAGACAGAGTTTATACAAGTCTGATTTAGTGGGCATTACATTGTGTCCTACAGAAATTAAATTCTTACAGTACAATTTTAGAAACAAAATCTCTTCTTAGATTGTTTTATGGCTTTGACATATCCTGGCCCTAACTGAATAAAAAATGTTTGACTAGGAGAATGTACATGATCCTCAAAGAACAGTAACTAAATTTGGGTTGCAAGATTTTTTACAAGACTGAAAGATTGTTTCTATTTATTATTATTCTTGTCTTGGATACAGAAAGTTCAGAAGCCCTCACTTGCTTTTAACTCTTTATCTCACTTGATTTCTGGCATTGATTGATGTGCACATCATTGATTGTGAATGATGAACATGTTACTGTGTTCACAAACTGGGAAGAAGAATTGGGAAGTGCTACAGTGTGATTTTTCATTTTTTTAAGCAGGAGCTTCCTTCTGTATGGCTCCAAGGAGATCCTGTAGCCCAGTGATGTCACCAAACGTTTCACTTCCACAGTGAGATAGTGTAGATAAAACCGGCTGTGTTTACCAGAGCTCACAACCCTAAGAAGCTCATGGCTTCAACTAGTCCTGGTTTCAGTGAGCAGCAAGCTCTGGGAAGCTTCAATTCAGCTACTTGATGTTACTTTGTTACAAGTTCCAAAATGTCCTGTTTGGCATGTTCTGCTACATTTTAATATTGTTAAACAAGTGCATTCTTGTGGTTATAGACCTGTCTCATTTCACCTCATCTACTTTGGAAGAGTCATGATGATATTTCCTGATTTCTCAGTGCTTGACCACAGTTGAAATAGATTAAATAACATTACAAGTTAAATTGGTAATTTTCTTAGTGTTGGTTGACTTCGGTTCTCATTCCTGTGTTGAGATGTACCAGGTAACTTTACCATGGTATCTCAGGTGTTGAATTATCTTTTATTTTGCATTTTGAGTGTTATCTGTGCAATATAGTTGTTACTAGTTACTATTAATTGTTTTACGGTAGGGACTAAAATCCACAGTTAAAACCTTGAAAATCTTTTGTGCTAGAATTCTGCACAGACATGATTAAATACAACTTGCTTCCCAGAAAGGTTTATAAGCTAAATTCAGGTAATCCCTGTGGAGGTAAGCAAGCGAGAGGAGAGAATGGGAGCAGGAAAATGAGTGAAAACACAGAAGAACATGGTTATTTGTTATGTTCGAAGCTGGATAGATCTATAAATGCCACTCTTGGTATAAGTGAACAGAAATTACTCAACTGCCTGGGCTTAATTTGCACAGGAAAAAAGACCTATATATATTTTTGGAAAAATAGACTTCAGTGCTGTAGTCTCTTTCACAGTATCTCACTTAGTATCGTCGTTACTTAGTTTGACAGCACTGATGATGTTTCTAAGTAAATGAAAAAGCAGGAACAAATAGATAAGGCCCTATAACCCAATGTGCTTTTTGTTCAGGTACCACAAGTGAGCTGCATATGCATAACTGAACGCACATGGGATTTGTTTGTGAAATAATTATTATGCAAACACCAGAACTTAATTATATTGAATTTTATTAAATATGTACATGTTATTGCTATGTAAAAGAATGAGTATCATCCCAAGATCTGCAGACTTCTCTCTAGCATTGAGAGCTGTGGCAGAGCCTGTATTAATGCTACTTGGAAAGCTGTAAGCTAATGCGGTGTCACTGTGAATGACACAGCACTACCTTTGAAGGTACTTCATCAGCCATATTCTTCAGTTAAAATACAATCAAAAAAAACCTTTCAGGATAATAATATATTTGTACATAGTTTAAATTTCCCAAATCTGTCCAAGTTGTAGAATGGAAGCAAAGAATTCTGTCACATTTAGGATTCTCAGATGCTGAAGAAGGGAATTCGTACCAGAAACATCTGACAGTAAAGACCTTTTAAGGCATAGAACGGGGCACAGGAAGCACAAAGAAAGAGGCGTCCATCTCCTCTGCTGGTTTCCAGCCAGGAGGTCTTACTATTTTTCTTGCTTAGGGTCCCATGACCTCAGTGAGGATAATGCTTCCTATCAGTGACCCCCCTTCCCATCACCTCTCCACTAAACTGGTAGGTCAGCTTCTTCTTCACTTTCTTGACCTCTCCTGTCTTGCCGTAGTTTCTTAAAGCTCGTGCCATCTTCTGGTAGGTCATCTTCTTGCGATTGCCTTTCTGGATGCCCCAGCGATGCGCCAATGCTTCTTTGTGTTTGGAGGAGAACTGGAAAGTACCTTTTTCCTTGTCCACCCACCAAATGCTGTCCTTCATGTCTCCGCTGCGAAGAAGGTCCAGAAGGAACTGATACAGACGTATCTTTTTCTTGCTACCTGTGCGAGAGTCAGAGAAGAAAGGCAGTGGAACATTAGGATTAGCATCTGGCTCTTGGTGAAAGAGCAGAACATACATAATTCATGTAACTGTTTCAGCTAGCTGATCAGTCCTGTAACTTCTTTCACTTGGCAACATGTGCAACAATAGGCACTGTTATGCTGTGAGGACTTGATATGTACTCATGTACAAAAAAAAAAAAAAAAAAGGAGAGAAAGGAATTTCAAAGACCGAAGCCTTGTTTTGAAATCAATTTGTTAATCTGAAGCTAACTGGAAAATGCTGTTAAATTGAAACCATAATTGGCGCAGGTTATACAGAACCTGACTTTCAGGTACTGAGCAAGCAGAACTAAATATGTTCAAAAATCAGTTCCTTGACTTTCTTGGCTTGTTTTTCCTACCTGTTATAGGCAATTCACAAGGAGAAAGAAGAAATTATTTCTGAGTTATAGACACAGTTATGATCATAAAAGATGGAGAGGACAGGGGAGTGCAAGGAGTCAGGGAAGGAGAAGCTTTGGCAGGGGCTGAAATACCAGCACATCAGTTCTATCGTTCTATCTATTGTCATCATGGTAATGTAACAGCTGCTCAGCACATAGCATGAGGAAGTCTCTGTTCTCACTGACCTGTTTCTCCATGCATAATTCCAGGGCCAGGGTCCACACCATCAGTCTCCCCATCTGATACCTCCAGTGGTGGGCTCTGCCGCTCTGTGTCTTCCTCATCAGAACTGGGCTGTGGTGGAGAGGAGTACTGTAGGCACATCCGGGGCAAATAGGGCACCTTTGGGAGAAAAGTGTAGGAGAGGCAGGAGGTAGGGACAGAGAGCAGGGCATTGAGAAGGAAAAAGGAAATGTCACAGAGAGAGTTACAGAGAAAAGGGAGAGAACGTAAGAGTTAATTAGCTCGTTTAGGGTAATACTGAGTGACTAGGCTGTTGACATTTAGAATAAATATGATGCAATTAAGAAGCACTTCCAGCTAACAGTCCACATGTGCACAAAGATGCACCTTTACAAGAGGGGAAAAAGTCACGAAAGTCAGAAATTTCTCCTATGTTACATCCTATGCAGGTGATATTGCTCCTGTTGCCCCACACCTCCTGAAAGCTAGTGTTATTCCTGTTGACTATACCCAGTGTAAAACTGCTTTTGAGAACAACTCGTTTTTTTAATGCAGACCTTCTGGAATTAGTCTTTTAAACTGGAAAGAGCTGAACAGTTCTGCCCTTGCACCGCTGCTTTGACTGCGTTTTGCTCTGTTGCCCTCTTCCTTTCTCAGGCGTAGTACCTCCTGACAGCGCCGAATCCCTGCAGGGCTGCATCCGGCTCTGGAGACCGGCTTACAAGGCTCAGTCAGCCTCTTCTCCTGAATTTCCCTCATGGGGAGGGGAATAGCCTTAGCACTGAGATAAAGCATACATCATATTGGCTCACAGTCTCTCTTCTTAAGTGACTTTCTGAAAAACCCCCTTTAATGGGGATTTCTCATCTGCAAAGCTAGCAAGACATTTTTTTATGCTAAATTCTCTTGCCCTTATATAGAGGTCTTGTCAGGAGCAGCATGGAATAGACCTCAGCTCTGTAAATTCTCAGTTGCCGTCTGGTGCATTAAGGGTTGTGACCAGTTGCCATGAATTATTGCAGCTTCTTGTTTAGGAATGAGAGACAGATCAGTCTGAGGGGCAGGGAGTAAGAAGCCATTTCCTACATTAAAAAACCCGACCAACATCCCCCAAACCCAGCAGCATACAGAGTGTGGGTTTCGTGAAATGGGCCAGATAGAGTCCTAGAAGATGGCCTCCTTTCAAATTGCTCTCGTTCCCTCTTCCAGGAAAGGATAGGTTGAGTTCGATTCCCTTCCAAGGGGACGTCGGGCACTGAAGCATGGAGTCATGAGACGCACCACCCGCCCCATGTCGGGCTGTGCCCATGCCTTTTGCACCAGCTTAGAATGTCCCAATAAGGAGTGTGCAAGGGGCTGGTTTTGAGCCACAGCAGCTGGCGGTTAATGAGTTGGCAGATTGGCTGGAGCTGATCTGGCAGGAAGGCCAGGATTGGGTAAGAGTATGTGTAAGCTTCCTGCCAGATCCCCACCAGTGAAACTTCGGCCTTCACCACAGGGTCACCTTTAGCTTCTTACAGTTAAGAAAGCTGCGGCCTTAGGAGTAGGAAGGAAGGGAGACACTCTGACATGGGGGAAGGGGAATGAGAATGTGAGACAATGTCTCACAGGGGAGGGGAACAGAGACTGGTGCCCCTGCAGAGA